GTTTCCTGGAGAAGCATCTGTGTTTCAAGGAATTGATCCAAGCAAGCATGAAGTTTTCGGAAGAGGGAAAAGCATACCTGACATGGATTTGGAGTAGCGAGTAGAGTTTTTAAGAGAGACATCCTACTTCAGGAAAGGTTTACTGGTTTTTGTCTGGGCAAGATTTAGGAAAAGCAGCTTGAGGCCCTAACAAATTATTGTTGATTTCTAAAACCAACAAAGCAAACCCCTCCCCTTTTCAGAAGACTGTTGTCTGCTTTAAGAAGAACTTCAGTTCAGAAATTTTGTTATATAGAGTGTTCTTTATAGAAGGTAAACAATGTGAATGTGTATGTACATAACACATACAAACATATGATGCCTGGACTGGCAATATTGTCCATCTAATGTTCATACATAACTCTCTTCTCCCTTCCCTATTCTAGGAATCTTACCGTTTATGCAGTAATTTTCACAGCGCAATGAGACCTTCTTTGCAGGAAAGCACATTTAGCTATTTTGTTTACTTTAGAATAATTTAAAGGTCAAGAAACAGTTTTAAATACAGTTTCTAAGAAACAGTATTGGATTTACAGTCATCACCAATCTTATAAAAGAAAACTTTATAGTTAAGATGCTACCTGGGAACTATATACAAAGACTGTTCTGAAAGTATGAGAAATACAGATTTATATGAACTTACATCTGTTATGTTTTGTTAAAAATATATTTTTCACAATTTTTATTATAAGCAGAATGCAAAATGAGAACACACAAAATTTGGAGGCACTGGAAAATCTATGCACCAAGTTACAATTAATACTAACAATCCTCAAAAGTCCACCAGAGAAAGCAGTGTATCTAACTGAAGAATTAAATTAATATAGCTACCCACTTGTGCTCTTTAACTGAAATACAGAAAATGAATTGTCTAAACATGTATAATCTCTTGTTTGAGATCTGACAGCAAAAGGGAAAAAAGATTATAAAACTGAAGCACAAGTGATACATCGTAAGAACGTTTTACAAGAAACATAAGACACAGTTTAATATCTACACAATCTCTTTAATAAATGGAATTTCCACTGATTATTTACAGATTTCAATGCTGTTGTCATCCAGTCTTTCTAAGAGAGTCTGCTTATGTAAATAAGGATTAGTTGGCAAAGTTAATTATGGTAAAAGAAAAAATTATTGTTAAACTTGGGATGGAAGTGGCGTCTAGAGAGTATCTGTTTGCTGCTTTCTACTTGCAGATGCTAAGGCAGTTTTGATTAGGACCTTGGATATTCCCAAAAGGTCTTTTCTGGAGGTTGCTGTACATGGTAGAGAGATCCAAACTAACTTCAGAAACATTAAGCTGGGTATCAGAGGAGGGCTAACTGCAGTAGCACAAAATAATCTGCATTTCCACTGAAGGTGTAGTAATTGAACAAAACAAGGTGTCCAGCTCTACACAATGTTCCCATATCACATGGATTATCAGACCTGTTCCACATGGGAGACTTTTGTTTTCTAAACACTTCCCCCTTAGAGATAGTCATTAAGATGTCATGTGCTTAAGAGTTGCTGTTGATTTCAACAGGAAATAGGAATGAATCGGAGTTTTGGGCGTGAACAGAGCTACTCCTATCCAGTTGTTGCTCGCTAGTATTTTAGAGGCATTTCGGTGGGCTTAATCAGAAAGTCAAAGTATTAACTTAATTCCACATCAGAAGAGGTAGTACAGTTGTGGGTTGCTGTGATGTTGCAACAAGGGACAGAGCTGTGTTTTCCAAGGTTGCACGCTTAGATGATTAAGCCAAAAATCCTTGCATATTTTGGCCTCCACTTCAGGTACACCTACAGACTTTCTTTTTGTGATCTACGGGACTGAAGTGACCTGTGCGAAGAAGTACAGCTGAGAAGGGGCGCAGGGGTGTACAAGGGTCTTGCTGTGCTGTATACATGTAATCACTGCAAGTACCCACTGCAGGAGCCTCCTGGCTACTCAGCGGGTGCTTTATCTGATTAAAGACATGCTCAGGACTACACTTCAGTAGTAGAGGCTTCCTGAATTGTTGAAAGAAAGTTAGTTATCGCCATTCATGCACGTGACGTAATGACATGAATGTGCTCTTTGAGATGGGTTCTTACATGGATGGCAGGAGAGCACTAGTCAATCACACTCTCGGGTGTGTGTGATTAAAAGAGGCATGTCGACTTTGTGGAAAGCATTTTCTATACGAGTAGTTAAAAGAATTGGAAATATATTTTCTACCAAAAAAATTAGGTGATTAATCTGTATTTTAGAGGTGCAATCTATTTAAACCTGGTGTAATTGAAATAGGATTTTTTCTTTTCTTTTTGAATGCATTTGAAAAGTTGTGTTTGCAAAGTGTGTTCTGATCCCAACAGCCCTGGTGTAGATCAGAGAATTGGTGAAAAGCTCTTCAGATTATCATTCAACTTATACACTAAAAAAACAAATCCTGTTAAATACATCATTCTTGATGGATATGTGTGTTTAACCTTAAAGGTGGAGATTCCTCAGGGAATTATTATAGTGCTATATTAGCCTTACCACTAGCTTCCCAAAAAGTTAACATGATTCTTCCTTGCTATAATTTAAGCCTGTTACTATTGTCTGCCACTCATGTGAAGTACAAATGATTCCTTTTCTCATTCCAGAGCTATACATGTATCTAAAGACTGCTGTCCTCTTCCCAGACTGCTTTTTCTTCTTCAAGTTAAACTTCAACAGTCTTTCTAATCTTTCCTCATAAGCCATATCTTCCTGTACTCTGGCTACCATCATTGCTTCTCTAGGCTCTGCTTAGTGGCCCACATCTTCAGGGTAAGACACGGAAGGTCTTGCCCAAAACTGGGAGAAGTGCTTCAGCTGAAACAATGCCAGTGTTAAGTGGCGTGGAAGGATTAAATCGTGCGCTGCTTAGACCATCCTGCTTCCTGTACCCTCCAGTTTGCGGGAACTCTCTGGGGGAGGGATTCTCTGGATTCACACACAGCAAACAGAGTCAAGAATCTGGAATTAATTATTTAAAGTCCCTTGAAATTAAAAAGGAATTGTGTAATGCTGCCTTGCTATAATTTAGTGTCCTTTTCAGCTGACTACTTGGTGTGGGGTGAGTGCCATCTGGAGGCTAGGAAACACAGAGCTCTGTATGCTTTCATGCTGAAAAACAAAATCTCCATGCTTGATAAATGAAATGTTCTTACATAAATCGGAGCTTGAGCCTGAGAGATACTGGACATCTGCCACTCAGTATAGAGTTTGTGACCCACAGCAAGAGTTGAGGCTGTTCAGTGTGTATCAGAGTAAGGCATGCAAGTGTAGTGACTTTTCAGTATTATGCAATCACCAATAAATATGTAGCCTCTGAGTGGCCTGTGAAGTTTTTGGAAGAAGCTCTGGTCAACACAGGGACAAGGAAAGGCTTGATCTGCTCTCTCCTCTCCCTCTTTCAAGATATTTGAAGACAAACCAGTTTCTGGTGCAGTTCTCTGCTCATGGGAGAGAGCAGAAAACATTTTAGCTGAACAAGAAGATGTCTTTTTCAAAGAGTAGGTTGCCATTAGGTGAGCGTGAATGCAGTTGTCTTATCACAATTCATGTCTGCACAGAGTGAAATCAGTCCTCCTCACCTGGGCTGATTGCATGATGTGGTCTTCCTTCTTTAGGTAGCTTAGCTGTCATCTTCAAAGCCTTAATCCTCCAGTTCTCACTGTGTTGAGGAAGCCAGGAGGAGAACTGCTTGGTGCCGTGACTTCAGTGAGTGGGACTTGGCTTTTCTTTCTACAGTGTATTTTTGTTTTCCCAGAGACCACTTGGATGTTGACAGTGATCACACTGTTCCACACCACCTCTTGTGCTTTTGAACTGCCTTCTGCTGCTGAAATCTAATCATAAAAACAAGTAGCCTTAGTTGCAAAGCATAAGCATACACATCTCCACCTTAGTTCGGTGGGAGATTGCAGCCTGTTGTGTCAAGGCAATGCTAATGGCTTCTATGTTGATCTCCACCTAGGACTGACCATAATCCTACAGAAGCTACATACGGTTCGAAAGACAGATGTACACTCTCCATGCTCTGCTGATTACTGCTTTTTCCCTACAGAACAACAGGTCATAAACAAAGTTTGTGTCTGTGTAATGAAAACGCAGTAGTGAACAGGCTTTAGGTGTTGTGCCGATTTAGCTTGATGATGGTTTCCCCGGGCAACCACAGATTTTAGGAACTATGAACCTGTTAAATTCAAGGTTGATGGTCGTAAGCGTGTAAGACAGGTTGCTGAGCCAACACGCCTTCAGAGCAAAATGTGAAAGCCTGCTTCCTTGTCAATGAGTTTCCATCAGCTAAACCAGGAAAAAAAGAGTAAGAAGGGAATTTGAGAGCAGCCAATCTAAAGAAACAAGAATGAAAACTAGTGTGAAAAAAATTTGGTCTTCCCTCCCTCAGCGGGGAGGAGGGGGGGCGTGGTGAAAAAAGCAGAGAACACATCTCACGTGCCTTGAATTTTATTCTTTAGAGCAAGCTGAAACATCAGATGACAGAGGCTGATGAATCCTTGGCTAACTACATGAAATGCAACAAGCTGCTGCATTTTATTGTGCTGACTTTCAGAATTGAAAGTATGCTGTTTATGTTGGGACTCATCTGAGTGGGTGTCCATTAATTGTTTATTTTCAGGAGATAAAAATTCAGGAAGAAATTGCCTTTTGGCTGCAGTCTTGTTCTTTCTGATGATAGTGGCAACCTTACTGTAGACTTGCATGGGAAGATGGATGAGATCTGTAGTGCCAACTCTGTATATGGCCCAGTCACCCAAATACAAAGAGGGTTGTCTCCTATGGCATTGTTGGACAACATCCGTCTTTGCTCTTGAAATTTCAAAAATGCATGCTAGACAGTAGTATTGGTCTCTCTGAGAAAAAGATTGAGGAATTTTTTACGTGCTGTGGAATCTGTTGGCTAGAACCATTCAACTTGCTTTGTTACTGTTATATTTTTACTGAAGCACTAGGAAGGCTGGAGCTCACCCTCAAGTTTTCTCTTCCGTGCTCCACTGCTGAAGAAGTAATCCATGTTTACCAGAGCCCTGCCAAGTTCAGTATTCATTTGACTGCCAATAGTCTGGTTGGTCGAGTTGGGAACTTTGCTTGAGAACACAGGCATATAGTTTGGCAGTGGCTGCTGCTCCTTTTTCTTACCCTGGATAAACCAAAGACCATTAATAAGTTTTCAGAATTACATCCATTGCTTATCACAAAAATACAAGTTACTGGGATTATTTATAAGATTAGCACTTTTGCTTTTGAAATTAGAATTTGAATGTACTTTAAAATGTCATAGTGAATGTACATGAAAGTGTTGAAGAAATAAACTGATTTTTTTTTTCCTGTTGTCTTACATGGGAATAGGATAACACAGCGAAATGAATAATTTTCAAATGTGTTGCCTAAAATGTCAGGTGGGACAGAAGTTAACCTGCTCTAGAATGGTCAAGATGTGGAGGTTTTTCATTTTGTTTTTAGTAAGTGGGTTGGATTTCACCATGGTGACATTATCTTACAAATTTTCACCTAGGAAGTTGGTTTTTCTAGCACTTGTCTTTCTATGGAATTGCTAATATTGAAACAGATTGAACACACACACGTACTGTATTTCTTTGTGGTATAGGCAGCAGATGAAAGGCACTTCAGTTCTCTTTTATTATTCCTGAAGATTTTAGTCTTTATGGAATTGCTAATATTGAAACAGATTGAACACACACACGTACTGTATTTCTTTGTGGTATAGGCAGCAGATGAAAGGCACTTCAGTTCTCTTCTATTATTCCTAAAGATTTTAGTCTGAAAGCATTTTCTAATTATGCCTAAGTATGCTTCAATTTGAAATATTAGCCTAGCTCAAATTGACAAAAACTAAAAAGACCCAGGATTACAGTTGAATGTTTGTTCAAAACTTACCATTTGGTCATAGTCCTTTAAGAAACTCCAGTTCTGGTACCTTGGAATAGAAGTAAAAAATGCGGTGTAAAATTTTCTGGTTTTAAATAAAATAGTTCATGTTGGTCATATCTGAATGCCTATTTAACTGCTCAATAACAGCCCAGCTCTTACACCTGCGAATTCTTTGTACTGAAATCTGTCTTTTCTGTGGTGAAGCGCAGGGTTTTCTTTATTCCCATATGGAGCCCATACTACGTGAGGAGTGGGTTTTTTTCACTAAAGGAAGATGAGGATAGCATGTCCCCAATGTATTCCTTGTGCAAATGCAGATAAATTAGCGAAGTCCTGAGTTACTCCAGCAAACTTCTGTCCCATGCCGTGAGCAAGACACAGCTGCTTATTTTTTAAATGACCGATGCTCTGCTGGCAGAAGTCCCTGGTAGGAATTCCCAGAGCCGTATTTGCTGCAGGCAAACACCCACGGAAGTATTTTGTGCAGGTAGGCAGCTGTGCTAGGAGCAAATTGAGTCAGAAGGCCTGAGTTTTACTCTTCAGCTCTGTTCTATACCTGGTGTGAGACTATAGGGCAAGTCCTTTGATTTTCTGTCCTTTGCTTTCCCTGGGCTGAAATGGAGAAAATGAAAGTTCACCTGCTACTGTGAAAGTACTGTGAGGTTGATAGAGGAAACCGTTATCTACAGCTGTATTTGCAGCAGGGCTGAAGGGACACCTGGGTTGACTGTCTGAGCTGGTTACCTGTATCTGCACAATGCTGCATCTAAGCTCATGGGTCTAGTGCTGAAGCTGCACATTCCTCTGAGTTGAGCTCGTCTGTACCAGCACAGCCATGTACCACGTGGAGCTACGAGTATTGGATTTCTGTGCTGCACTCCCCCGTCCAGTGCAGATGTGCCCTAAGTGCAAATAAAAGCTAATCTATGGCTCCTTGTGTTTTTCACTGTATGTCTTGGTACGCCAGCACAGCGCAGAGGTCCTAAAACTTTTTGCTTGCTATGTCAGCCACTATTTGAACATGTCAGATTTGGGTCTTACTGGATGGTGCTAATTACTGAGAAATGCTTGGGTCTCAGACATTTACCTATATCCACTGCACGTCAGACCACCAACAGGTAGCAGCCTTTCCCCATCATTGTTTTTGGGGTGGGGATGTGGAGCTGAAGGACAGTTCTCTGCAGGCATATGTAGTCTGATGAATCCGGCTTTAGGCATCTGTCCTTCACATGTCTGTCCTACTCTTTTACAAGAGTTTCTGTGTTCGTAGGTAGGGCTGGAGGGCAGGACATGCATCAGCTGTATGATGTGTTATCTTACCTATGAAAGGGAGTTTGCACCAATATCCATGATGGTGACTCCTGGGGGGCAGGCACAGACAGAGTCCCTCCTGCTGCCTTAGCTAGGGAATGGGTGTATGGAACAAGCTGGGCCCGTTTGGGAAGAGTGTGTGTGCAGAACTGGGAGGGAGTAACATTGCCACCACAGCCTTGGCTTTGCATGAGTCAGAGTCCTGGTCTCATCCTTTCCCTCAGGTAGAAGGAGCCAGGCAAGAGTGCAAATGCATCTCTGGGGAAATTAGAGCTGTGATTTGTATTGCCTCCAGAAGGCTGAGGAGGACAGGGGTTTTCAGATGGTTTATTTTCCCATTCTAAAATATCCTGAGAGTGATGTTCTTTTTCTTCCCTTTCCTTTAGCTTGGTTGTGTGTGTGGAGTTCAGTCTGCTGAAACACTATAACAATGGGGCATATTCAGCAGATTTACAGATTGGGAATATAAAATCGTATTTTGGCAGAACACTCTGTTCAGGTGCCATTTCAGCCATTTCCAAGAATATGAGAAGAGGTGATAATATTGGTATGTCTGCAATAAATTACAAAGGTTGGCACATTTATATCTTCATTGTGGAAATCTCTATAAAACCAAAAGATACTTAGCATGCAATTCTTTGCATCTTTTCCTAAAGGTGAAGCCCAGCATGCCCAGAGATAGTAGCGTAGATTTTGTCCAGTGAAGGAAAACAGAGATAATACGATCTTAGAAATAAAGGTGTTAGGGTCTGATGCAAAGTCCCTGCAGAAGAAAATTTCCTGTGATAGTGTAGGCTTTGGTTCAAGCCCTAAGACTCTCAGGGAGCATCAGTACCATTGTCAAGATGAGTAGAAGAGGCATGAACTCGAACAAGTGACTTACCAGATTTTTCTTCGTCTCTGTTCAGTCTCCACAGACTCTCTCCAGATCTTATCCTGTTGAACCTGGTCCTGCTGCAGTGCTGCCCGCTCGTCTGCCCAGGCCCGAGCAGGCGGTTGTGCAATGACAGGTCTTCTGGGCTGGGTGCTGCCAAGAGACACAGATGGAGCTGAGGCTGGTTGCCCCAGAGGTGTGGTTGCTGGTTGCCAAGACCTAACCAAGGTATTTCTCCTGAATCCAGAACCCTTTCCCAACTTGTCCATTTTGAGACTCACTGTATCCCCAGTATTGTTAAGTATGTTGTGACTGTTAGGAACGTTAAACCTGCTGTTATTCGCACTTTCAAAGCTCCTTCTCTCCTAACGTTTTCTTTTTGCTGCTGATTTGGAGTGCTTTCAGAAAATGAACGCGCACAGCAGCACTGACAGGCAGCACTCGGCACTGTTTTACCTCCCTCTTAAATTTAATGCTCATTTCCTACTGCTTTATGTTGCTTCGTTGCTTGAACGCTGAAGGAGTTTTCATGGTAACAGCAATTTTGTAAGAGACGACTATTACTGAAAGCCATCAGATCTCCAGCTGTAACCAGCAAACTCTCAGCTTACAAAGCGATTACTGCTGCTTGCAGTTGAGACCACCCTCTATTCAAAATCCTCAGAACAGTAAAGGCAGGTTTAGTAGCAAAGGGTGCTGTGGAGATTGCTGCTGAGTATGTCAGAAGGACTTTTGTTGTGGTTATGTACCAGAGGCAAAATCTCCTGAAAGCTACTGGTTTCCATGGTGTGTTTACTGTCTCCATTGGAAACGAGTCTGACTTGTGAATATTCACCGGAAAGGGAGCAGAGACCCAGTGGAACAGCTGCTGGGTCTTTGACCTCTCTTTGGGATGGAGCTTGTTTGTTTCAAATAAGGTATTTCAACGAATCTGTGCTTTGAAAGCATCTTATTTTATGATTTTAAAAAAAAAGCAGCCAGAGATCATCAAAAGTCCTTTTTAAGTACTTAAAGATTTCTGCAGAAGGGATTAAGCAACTATGAGAAGTAGTTTTTAAGTAATTTTAAAGGATTATTAGTATACAAAGTGAGAATTTTCAAAACAGTGTCCAAAATGTCAGTGTTTGACTTTACAGTCAGCCTGTTGGGCTTTTGTGGTATGAAGTCACTTCCTCAAGTATTTATGACCTTGCAGGTTCTTGTGTTATTTTAATTCTAACCCTTCCTTCAAGTCCATTTCTGCAAATTAAACATAATAATAAACTAAAAATGGTTATTGAGCTGAGTACATAGCTTCCAAATGACTACTTGTAGTCACTGAATAAACTGGATGGAAAGAGTACAAGCAGGTGTTTAAAGTCTATGCCATTGAGTGGTGTCTGCAAAGATGCAGGAGTTGTGACTGCCTTGGTTTTGATCCAGGACTATGAAGTGCCTCCCAGAACAGCTTACTGAAACTGTACTCGTAGGTTAAAGTCAGATCTGTTGGTCTGAGACCCCGCAACCTCAGAAAAGAAGGAAGTCTTAACTTTTTAGGATTTCTTTAGGCTTTAAACAAAAATAAGCTATGAGTCTATGTGCAGGTATTGGACACCTCATAGTGTTCAAGCCATTTCTCTGGAAATAATAGATGGGAATGGGGTCATGGCTATTTAAATAAGTAGATTTTTAAAAATATTGTAACAATATGACTTTAAAATGTAGCTGCTGTTCCAAAACCAGATCACCAGGAGCTGATATTTTGAAAATTATCCCATTTTCTGTTGGGACCAGAAGTCATTAAGGGAGTGGTTATGCACCATTAAAGCACATCAAGGTGAGTGCAAGGATGACGTTTCTGGGCATTACTCTAGATTCCTTACTGGATATACTAGTAGCCCATTTAGGCCTTTTACTGGATTAACGGCTCAGCAGAAGTGCTGCAGATACTGAACTGTTTCCCCTCCTATTGCCATCTGCCAGTTTAGCATTTTATTTGTTCATTATAACAACTCGGGGCATTTAAGCAGGGAGCTCATTTGAATTGGTATGACTGATTTACTGTGTACTTCTTTGCATCCTGTAGTAGAATAGGTTGATGTTTATTGTGGCTTCATGCCATATATATATGTGTAAATTGATTATAGCATCTTTATTTTTTCTGGTTGGGGACTTGAAACTTGAAAAAAAGTTTTGAGTGTCACTGTAGGAGTTGGTGCCTTTGCTTAGGACTTTGTTTTGAGATTAGTTTATCTGACAAGCGGTGTTGGTGCCTGTCATTCTGAGGAAGAACCTGACTGAGGTTAGTCTTTTGTTGTTGCCACACAAGTGATGATACGCACTACAAATTAATCTGTGAAAAATATGTGAGTTATTTCCCCCTGTCAAAGGAAAAAATGTCTAGAGAGGCTTTTTATAGAGGAAAAAGTTTACGTGTTTAGATAAACCACTTTCATTTGACCACAAGAGGGTATTGCAGTATCGGTTATGCAAGATTTGAGCTAATGTTTGACTTTATATACACTGCCTTATTTGTAAAACATACATTTCTGGAAATTGATTATTTAAATTAAGCAGTAGTTAAGCAAATCAGGTTTTGTATGCCAGTATTTGATATCCTGGTACAGAGGCAATTTCTGAGCTGTTTTTTTCTGAAAATTGTTTTGTTTTTTATACTAACAAACCTCTTGAAGCTTGAGAAGTTCTCATTGATTTCCCAGGAGGACAGGGACTTCAGAGGCTTATTCCAAAACACTGAAAAACTTAGTGGAAATTGCTTGGTTAAATGCAAGAATACATTAGTTATAGAAGGGAAATAATAACAGGAGATGAATGTGTTGCCACTTTGGTTGGAAGTGCATGTTGGTCCAGCATGGGCACTGTCAAAGTCAGTGAGACTCTGATCTGATTTTCCCATGTAGTCCTACTCGCAGAAATAAGGTCTGAAATCTTTTTTAGCTCATTCGTGTTTCCCACATTTCTCCTTTACATCCAAGTCTTCTACAGTATACATGCAATGTTGGTTTGCACTTTTTTCCTTAGTACTGTGTTTGGATACTTTCCTACAAAAGTTATGTCTTCTAAACTTTAAGGACAGTGTTGCCAGATGTTCATGCCATGTTTTGTACAGACCATGGAAGAGGGACCTAGAAGGATCTCTGGATTCTCCCACTGCTAGATCTGCTTCTGAATTTAGGAGAAGATACATGGTATGCCTGCCTGTCTCTCAACAAGCCCAGCCCTAAAAGAAGAAAGATCACAGCCATATCACATTATCTGTGAAGAACAAATTTCCAAGGGGTGTAATAGTGATTTGACGGACAGCAAAGCAATTTTCATATAAGAAAGTCTGTGTTTGTGAGATATTGCAGAGATTTGAGAAACACACACTTTTAAAAACACAAGTGCGCCTGTGAGTAAGAGGCAGGAGCAAGATCATCAGCTGGAGAAGACAGCTCTCTGGAGACCAGCATTTCAGACCAGAGCACCATTTGGAAGTTCTCTGCCATTTCATGAATGGGACGGAGACCCCCATGTAAATCTTTTGGTATGAGCAGTGTTGCCTGCCTCAAATAGTGACATTTGTGTTGTCATCATCATCTTCCTCAAATGAATAAAGATCAGTCAAGTCAGTCAAGATTGCAGGCTGGAAGATGGGTCATGGTGATGGTTAGCAGAGCGGGTTGTTAGGTGATCGGTCAGAGGATGCTGAGCACCCAGCAGAGCAGTGACGGATGGCAGAGCATTACTGCGGCGCTTTCTCACCGGTCCTGGGCATTGGCCAGCAGGGCCCTGGAAGGCCTGCAGGTGGCAGATCCTGCTGACAAGCTTTGTCTTGGTCTGGCAGGAGCAGAGTGCCTTGGGTTGCTTTATGCAGCCAAAATGAAAACAAATCCTGCAAACTGCCAGTTTGGAGTAAAACTCCTTTTAAACGATTATGTAGCTGCTTATTAAAGGCCTCATGCGTTAAGTTTTGCTGTAGCTTTCATTAAAAAATATAAACTTATTTCTTGTCTTAATGGAGTTCTGCTGAGAGAGCCTGACAAGTTGAGTGTCTGTTGCGTCGGCAGCGTGCAGATACCACCGAGGGAATGTCTGCTTCCAGTGACACAGAGTCTGACACTTCAAAATAAAATCAAAGCTGTAATGCAGACTGTAAGAAATCTGTTGTGAATTTTTTTCATCCCCTTCTTTTAATATAAATTCTGGTGTAACATAATATGGTAGCTGCTGATACGCATTTTGCTTTATTTGAACAAAAATGATTTATTTGAAAAAATATTTACTTGAAGAAAATATTAAACAGAGCTATTCTGTAGAATATAGAGGCCTGTTACATTAGAGTCTTCTGCTTAAACCTGCCACCTGAGCAAGGTGATGGGATTTCAGGGAGGGAGTGCTGCAGGGCTGGTGTGTGAATAGGGATGTTTGGAAGTATCTGTTTTGAGGAGAAAGAACTAAAAATGTAAGAAGTGTTCCTCACTGGCTGAGGAATGTTTTTAGTTGGTATTTCACATAACTTTGGTCTTAGAGGCTAGACCCTGTCAAGAAGTGCAATATTGCATGGACAACCAAAGTTGTCTTCTGTTAGTCAGAGTTGTTCAAGTCACATCCTCACCATGGCAGGGAGCTCTGCTAACTGCATAATGGAGCTTGGCTTTATTCTGTTCATCCTTGCTGTTTTCTTGCACAGTTCATTAACACTTCTAAGAGAATTTCAGTGTATAAAGTGATTAAGTACTTCTGAAATGGCTGTGCTTCATACTGCTTAAGTACTTAAGGCAGCAGTTTGAGCTCTGAAGTCTGGCATAGCCCTGCCTTTCTATGCTCCTGTGGTATGTGTTTGTTAACAGTATCAGCTTACAGGTCAGTGTATAACACCCGAAGAGAAGCTGCTTCACAAATACTAGAGAGATGCAGTTTTCTGTCTCTGCTGCCTGGGGCACTGTAGTACTTAGAGAAATGCTCCTGTGAAATACAGTATTCCAGGTGTGTATCACCATGTATTTCAATGCTCAAGATGCTGTTCCGTTATTTTTTGGATTGTTCTCTGTTTCTTAGCTATCTCCTCCAGCAGCTAAGAGTCTGTTTGTTGATCTGCACTTTAATATACTAAATGTTTTACTTACCATCTGCTCACCATATTCAGAAAGTACATTAACTTTCTGTTTTGATTTGAGATACCAAAAATTCTCTGCTGCAAGTTAGGCAAAGTTTTCAAATCAGGGTGCCTAAAATTTGTTTTAAATTGTGTCTCTGGCTATGAAAAGAAAGGGACCTGTTTTTTCAA